TCTTATGCTAGATCACTTGTTACTCTAGACATTTTGGTGACTCATGGGACTGCATTAAAAAGGACAAAACTGTCTTTACTGAGCAATTCACCATCAATCTTTTCTTTTTCCTTTCTCCTTTCTCCTTTTCTCCTAATGTCTTTCCAGRGAGCGATCTGAAGGTCACTGGGGTTGACTTTCTCAAGAGCCAGAACACCCAGCAGCACCACACGGATGGGTACAACATCAAGCACCTGGTGGTGCGGCGTGGGCAGCCCTTCCAGGTGCAGCTCAGCCTCAGCAGGGAGCTCAAGGCTGGTGACAAACTGTCCCTGCGCTTTGGCATTGGTAAGCAAAATCCCCTCTGCAGCCACCAGGCAAAGCCTGAGAGCCCCAGGAGCACCCAGCTGCCTYTTCCTGGCGCTGCACGGGCATGGCAGACCTGTGCTACCCTCCAACWTATTGTCTTGGGTTTGTTTCTAGGTGAGAACCCGATGAAGAACAGGGGGAGCCTGCTGTCACTGAAACCGGAGCGGGAGGACTTAAACGGGTGGAAAATCTCCATTGCCAAGAGGAATGGCAAAGAGGTAGAGCCTGTGGGCAAGGGGCCCAAAGCCCAGCACCGAGCCCATCAGAAGCTGCAGAGCAAAGTCCCATCATATCCCTTAGTTCTATGATTTTAAGGGAGCAGTAACCTTGCCCTGCTTGGTTCATTGCTGTCCCCATGCACAGGCAGGATTCACCCCATCCCACTGCCTTTCCCTCTTGCCCTGCAGAGACCTCCACAGCTCTCAGCTTTGCCCCTCATGCCAGTCCTGTGGCACCACATTGGTGCCATGCCTGTGGCCATGGTGGAGTGTCACTCATGCTGTGTCTCCTTGTTGCCCCCTCAGTGCCTGCTATCTGTCACCAGCTCTCCCAGTGCCGCCGTGGGAAAATACAACCTGCATGTGAAGACTGGGACTAACATTTACAAGCCTGAAAATGGTGTTGTCTACCTTTTGTTCAATCCTTGGTGTGAAGGTGAGTGGTCCTGAAGCTGGAAGTGGTAATTATTGCTGCCAGGGAATGCCCTTGGCAGAACTTTTCCTCATATTTTCCCTCCTCTCCTTCTTACATATGTTGCTTTTCCCCATAAAACACTGCAAGCAGCATCCTCATGGAGCCAGTGGTAAGCTGGACAGTAGCAATGAGCCAGATCCTCACTGGACATTCTCCAGTGCCAGGACACAGAGGGACATCTCTCCGTCACATCTCTTTGTGCCTCTGTATCATCCCTCTCTGTTTCCCTGAGCCAGCACGAAGATTAACTGAGAGGACTGGATTGGCTTAAAATCCAGACAAAAAATAACCATAATAAAAAGTTGCCTGTTTGGTTGGGATCAGTTTCCCAGTTTTGTCTGCTGTCTAGCTAGTACACTGCAGTGCTCAGAAATCAGCTTTTTGCTGTAATAAAAGAGTGATCATGTAGCAATGGACCTACAGGGGGAAACTAAAGATTAGTCTTACAAGGAATTCTTTCACAACAGGAGCAAAAAAATGGGGATGCTTCATGGTCATCAACTGGTGTGAATATCACAGACCCTTGGTTATCCCAGTTTAGTTTTCCATGGAAAATTTCACATATGTGCAAGCCACCTGACATCTGAGGGTTTGGGTTTTTCTCTCCAGATGATGCTGTCTACATGGCCAGTGAGGCRGAGAGGAAGGAGTACGTGCTCAACGACACTGGCTACATCTACACTGGGACTGCCTACATGATATATGACAAGCCCTGGAATTATGGRCAGGTAAAGCACAGCTGTCTTGTCAGCCCTATCACCCTGCCTCAACCCTTTGGCATTGAGCCCATGAGCAGCTCAAAACGCTGGAATGACAGATCCAGCTTCACTGGGAGGGCTCACCTGCTCAGAGTAATCCATGTGCCTACGTGTTTTCCCCACCCACAGCTGGAGAATGGGGTTTAGTGGAACATTTWTAGTCAGATCATGTGATCCCCTGGCAAAGGATGTGGAATCTGGGGATAGAGTATTTCCAGGTGAAAAACTTCCTATAAAGCAATTCCTGGTCTCATGCAAATGTAAGTGTTGTTAATCAGCTAATGAGGCAAGGAGAGCGCTGACAGGGGGAAAAAAGAAACTGATTTACCTGTTGTATCGGGATCAGGAATAAAAAGGGTAAAATTACTGGCAGAGGTTATCACCTTTCAAGTGTTGCCTTCACTGACAGCTGTGTGCASGACACAATCAACCACTCTGTCAGGAAGGGTGTTCCTGCCCTCTGCCTCTCAGATAACTCCAGAGGAGTGGAATGTCACATTGGCTTGGGCTAGAGATAAGAGGTGGGTGCCAGAGCAGATTTATTTGCACCCTGTAGAAAGCACACATGCACCCAAGTGGAGCATCCTGCACCCTGTCCAGACAGAAATCCCCACCAAAAAATGTACAAATCTGGGAGGTTTTTCTGGTTTGGTTTGGTTTGGTTTGGTTTGGTTTGGTTTGGTTTGGTTTGGTTTGGTTTGGTTTGGTTTGGTTTGGTTTGGTTCATGAGTCTGCAATTTTTGCAGGACATCTGCAGAATATATATCTGCAGAATACACATAACCCAACAAAGGTGCTCACACTGATGCCTTTACAACACAAAAGGGGCCAAAGGACATAATCTGTAGGGCTGTTCCTATCCTAATGTTTATTCTGCTGTTGAACAAAGAAAATTGATATTGATATTCTGACAAGCTTTGTTGGATCGGATGTTTGACATTGCTCTGAACTGGACCTCAGGGAGCTTTATCAGCAATTGCTAATTAGGAATCTTTGCTGTAATAATTAGTATTTATGTACCTTTCTTTTTTCCAAGGTTCATTTTGTACCTATGTCAATAGATTAAATATCTGCAGAGATCTTAAATTTTCATTACTCTTGAGTAATTTGCAGGGTTGTGGGGATATGACGTTGGTGACTGTGCTACTCACAGGAGTAAGTTTGCTAGGTCAGGTTCTAACTGTGTTTGCTTTTGTTGTCCAAGGCTGAGTTTCATTTTAGCTCTTTTTTGGAGACAATAGCTTTGGGAAGACCCACAGCCTTGAAAATTCATTATCATAAAGGAAGTTTAGAAGTTAAAGCTAGTCAGATGTTTTCCTCCAAGCACATGCTTTTCAGTGACAAGCAAATTCTGTTTTAGAGCAGCATATGAAAATATCACCATTTTCTCCCCAAAACAGTTTGAGGAATTCATCTTGGATGCCTGCATGTATCTGCTGGACAAAAGCAACCTCAGTCTGTCTGATAGAAGGAGTCCTGCAACTGTGTCCAGAGCCATGTCTGCTTTGGTAAGCCTCTCTCAGTGAAGGGCTTTGCCCCTCCAGCATTCCCTCGTGCTTCTTACTTGCTCCTCTTTCTCTGGGACTGTGAACACCATTTCAGGAGGCACTGAAATGGATTCCTTTCGCAAACTGCAAGGATCAAGAGACAGAGGCATTTTGGGTGGAGGGAAGAGGTGAACAAAACCACAGCATGTCCCCATCCCCAAAGACTGCAGCTGTCCTTCCTCATTGGTTGGGTTTGTGGGGCCAGCACAAGGGTTCTGTTTTGTGGGGGTGACTGCTCTCTCTGCTGTGACCCTTTTGGAGCTCYGTGGTTTAAGAAACAAGGAGCAGAGTTAATTTTGACTGCCCTGAGCAGTGGTACCACCTCCCTCTAGATACCCAGGTGGAAGATTTCCAACCAGGGAAGCCAGCAGCAGCGGCCTTGGTGGGTCCCACATGGCTGTGGAGCACCTGCGAAGCCCCTGGGTGGGCAGAGACCCCGGTGTTTAAGCCTCATTCCGCCTCATCCCTTTATTTTTGTGTGTGGCCACAGGTTAATGCCAACGATGACAGAGGTGTCCTGATGGGGAACTGGTCAGGGAATTACACTGGTGGGACATCCCCTATGGATTGGATTGGGAGTGTCACCATTCTGCAGAAGTACTATAAAACAAAGAAGCCGGTCTGCTTTGGGCAGTGCTGGGTTTTCGCAGGAGTCCTCAATACGGGTGAGCAGCAAACGTCTCCCTTCTCTGACACTCCAGTTACCGTGCTGGTGAGCCAAGTTACTGCTGATGAGCCAAATTACCCCAGTTACTGCCTCTGAGTCTGTCTGTAAGGAGAGGCTGAGGGAGCCAGCCCTGCTCAGCCAGGAGATGAGAAGGCTTTGGGGGTCTGATCCTTGTGTGTAAATACTCAACGGGAAGGAGTGGGGCACAGACAGGCTTTTCTCAGTGATGCCCACTGACAAGACTAGAGGTGAGAGGTACAGCCTGAAACATGGCAGATTCTGTGTAAACCCTGAAAAACAGTTTTTTCTGCTGTGAGGGTGACCAAGTGCTGGCACAGAATGCCCAGAGAGGTTCTAGAGTCAACAATCCTTGGAGATGTTCAAAAGCCATCTGGATGCAGTCCTGAGCACCTGCTCTAGAGGACTGTGGATGGGCAGAGGGGTCAGAGGACAGGATCCCCAGAGCCACCCACCAGTCTGAGTGGTTTTGTGACCCTGTGTTTTGTCTGTCTGTGCTGCAGTCATGCGCTGCTTGGGAGTGCCCTGCCGCTGTGTGAGCACCTTCGACGCGGCCCAYGACACGGATGAGAACCTGAGAGTGGACGTTTACCTGAACGACAAAGGGGAAAAGCTGAACTCGCTGTCCCTSGACTCTGTCTGGTACTGCCCACACTTCCTAACCCCTGRGCTGYCTTGCAGTGCCCCATTTCCCAGCCCCAGAGATTCCTTTGAGAATTTCACTGCTGCTTGGGGTTTGTTGCCCAGGAAAGTGAGAAAGAGAAAGCCTGGGGTACCCACAAATRTCCATTAAATCTGCCCTTACTAAAGGATTAAGGAGGAGATTGTGACTCTTTGGGTTGTAACAACACACTCCTTTTCTTTCCAACCCACACAGGAACTTCCACGTGTGGAATGATGCCTGGATGAAGAGAACAGACATACCAGAGGGGTTTAATGGCTGGCAGGCAATTGATTCAACCCCTCAGGAGCTAAGTCAAGGTAAGATTTGCCTAGGAAGGCTCTTCTGTAACTCCTGAGGGAGGCAGGGACTTTTTGTATGAAAAACATGCTTCCCAGTCAGCAGAGCAGGTACTCCCCACACACATTTTCACGTGCTGGGGCAGTGACACTCTAAAGCAGGACCTCTCACTCCTGCCACCTCAGCCCAGGATGGATGGAACAGCATTTCTTGGYGGGTAGAAAACCAACCTTGTGGGGACATAAATGTTGTTTCAGAAGTTAGAGCACATCTAAATCATTGGGGTCATGAGCCTGGTCATCGGTAGATGAGAGGAGTGACACCAAAATCGGTGACTGCACTCCCTGAACAGAGTCAGGGAATTTGAAGGTGGAAAAACACCGAAAGGTTAATCCTCAGGGAAGTGCAGAAAGTGGAATATTGCCTGGAGATTAAACACAGGTGTCTGGACACAGTTGACTTTGTAAACTGATACTGAAATAGTCTAAAAAAGAAATCTTCTAACACAATTTTGAAGCATTAGAAAGCAGGCATTAATTATTGCAGCGTGCTGAACACCCAGAGGGTATCTCCTCAAATTGGGTGTATCATGAAACTTTACAACAAGGTATTTGTTCCATCATGATCAGAGATGTCAATTAGACATAAACATCACTTCTCCTAGAACTAATTTGCAGGTATCTGCCTCTTACTGGAAAGCCTTTTATGGKCTCCTGGAGGGTTGTCTGAAGGGGTCTCTGGTGGTCAAACTCACCAAGTGTCCCCAACATTACAGATGACCGTCCCTTGAACTTCTTTTCTAGAAGCTGTTGCTTCTTGTTAGATAACTTTGCCACAAAAACCACCATATTGCTCATTATTTGTTTATCTAYGGGCTCCAGCTATGTTCAGCATCCTGTGTGGCTACTTTTATCTACTTCTTTAAAACATGTTGTCACCTTTTTTGCACAAGGCATCGTTATGTTCTGTTCCTTTTATCAAACGAAGCTGTGGCTTTCTAACTTTAAAATTATTTAAATCAGGGGGAACATGTGAAAGCTCCTACCAGACCTTGGTCATCAATAAAAATTTCCCAGGCAGCTGTGGGATAAATGAGAGGTTTTGGAGCTCATTACTGAGCTGGAGGATTATTTACCGCTAAGTGTCAACTGCTGCAGCCACAGTCTCCTGCTTGGCTGTGTCTCAGAGCAGAAATTGGGGTCGCTGTTCATGTTTGGAAGCTCAGCTGGCATTGAATGCCCCTTCCAGGCCGTTTCCAGTGTGGCCCGTGCCCGGTGAAGGCTGTCCGGGAAGGAGAGGTGTACTTGCCCTACGACAGCAAGTTTGTGTACGCGGAAGTGAACGCTGACAGAGTCTTCTGGATCGTCAAGAGGGTGAACGGCAAGGACAAGTACTACAGGGTCGGCACAGAGACCCAGGGCATYGGCAACAACATCAGCACAAAGGCCGTGGGGCAGAACAGGCGCCAAGACATCACCTGGGAGTACAAGTACCCCGAAGGTAACTACCCCATCCTCTGATGCAGTGCCAAACGGAGATCCCTGACCGTGTGGGGCACCCCACAGCACCTCTTGTTTCCTGGAGAGAACTGCACGAGTGGCTGCAGTGGCAAATCCAATGTAARGCCTGGAGATCCTTGGGAGGCAGTACTGCTCCTGGGCATCCCCATGCCTGCAGTGACACCTATGGCTGCCCCTCAGGGACACAAGCAAGCTTCCAGACAGKGAAAGAAATGGCCTTAACCAAGTCATCAGACTGACTTTTGCTTTATTTCTTCATTCTTTTCCATTTTGTCTTTCCATTCCCCAAWTCATATTAGTAAAAAAAAATCCCACATTTCCTCCCCGCAGTTCTTAGATCCAGCCATGTTGTCCTAGACAGTTAAACAGTTCTCAGTGAGGAGGGCAAAAATATCAGGCTGAAAAATTTAAGTGCACCCATGCTCTAAATTGTTTCTTCCAGGAAATTCTTCCAGTCCAAAATGCTACAGTTAGGTTTGGAGGTAGCTTAAAACAAAAAGTTGTCCTGAGCAGAGGCTGGAGGTGCTCTGACATCCTCTCTTCTTATCAGCAAAAGCATAAATAAAGGGAAGATAGCTCTGGGTGAGGAGACTGAGATACAGTTGTCACCCATATTTTTCTTTATCCAGGCTCCAGAGAGGAAAGRAAGTCTATGGAAAGAGCTTCTAGCTTCCTGCGCCCGGCAGGATTGATACCTCGATCAGGCTACGCTACAACTGCACAGGCAACGAGCAGCAACATCCAGCCCTTGATCCTGAAGGAGCCAGTCACCAAGAGTGGGCTCCACCTTGACRTAAGCAATACAGAACCTTTGCATCCCGGCAATCCCCTTGAATTTGCCATCACAGTGAAGGCCGCTACTCCTGGGAACTGGACCGTCGAACTTCTTGGCTCYTGCCAGCTGCAGTACTACACTGGAAACGTTCAGGCCAATCTTGGGACTATCAAGGAGACCATCAGTCTTGAAGGCAAYTCTGGTAAGCACAGAAAGCTTGCTTTGTTCTGTAGACTGATTTATGGTGGCAGTCTGGGGTTTGTAATGGCTCCACTGTAGACCAGGCTGTATTTTGTGAAGAGCAGAAATTGCCTGCCTAAACCCACCTCCCTCATTTGGAAGTCTCAGTTACARACTGGGACCCTTCTGTAGCAGGGACCAAAACATGAGGGCCCTGCTGCAGCTTCAAGGAGGAGGTTGGAAATACATCAGTGTGGGCCGACAGAGGTTTTCACGGGGTGAGCGAGGTGTGCTGGAGAATCTCCCTCCTGTCCTCACTGCGTAAATGTCAAACACGTCACACAAGCTTTGTATGCATTCGTGTGGGTCAGATCCCTCACAGGATTTAGATGGCTGGGAATTTCAGCCTTTTTTCATTCTTGTGTTTGCCGCTCTAATTTAGGTGGTGAGGATGCTGCTGAGTGTTATTTTCTGAATTCTTCACCCAAGCAAATTGCCACATCAAGGCTGCCTGCCTGGCTGATCCCCGGAGCTGTTTTTGCTGCTGTGCTTTGCACATCTTTGAGCAACCCGGGTTGCATTTCTCATCCCCAAAAATGCAACTGAAATTTGCTAAACAAGAGACTAACAAGTGATGAATAATTAACAGCCCTCGCTGATTCCGAGTATGAGTCACTCACAAAAAAAAAAAAAAAAAAAAAAAAAAAAANAAAAAAAAAAGAAAGAAATCTTTGCTGTTGATGAATGCTGATTGGTTTCACTCATGTACTGTTGTTGTCAAAATGCAGCAGGAGGACACAAAGGTAGCCACATATATATATGCCTACTTGTATACATACATACATACACTTAGGGAAAAGGACAGGCGTTTTTGGTTTTATTCCCAGAAGCCAGGAATCTTTGCAGTTAAAGCAATGCTCACGCACCAGCACTGCTGACCTGGGGGCTTTTCTTAGCCAGTGGAAGGTTGATCAGGCAATTGAAGACAAAATCTGAAGTGAAAGGAAAGGCAGCAATTTTACAGCAGGCAGAGAAACCCTAGGGGGTGCAGGCTTGGGTGTACCCAACCTCCTGCTCCTCTGCCTCCTCCTGAGTGCTGGGGCAGCCAGGGATCAGGGCTGATGAGGTGCTGGATGCGAGCCCAAGGCAGTGCYTGTCTGAGCAGGGAGATGATGGGGCTCAGCCACCCTTCCATGGGCTGCATGAACCCCCCATGCAGGGAAAGCACAATGGTCTCAGCAAATACAGCTAATCCCACATTCTGGACCAGAGCTGGCTTTGCCACCCAATTCCTGGCACRTGATGAAGCATCAAGGTGTGCTTTCTCTCCTGCAGAGATGCAGGTCCCCCTGAAGATAGCCCCTGATGCGTACATGAAGTCGCTGGCCTCCCTGGAAGGCGAGGTGCTCATCCTTGTCACTGCTGTTGCTGAGGTCAAGGAAACAAACGACAAACTCACCAAGGAGACCTCGATGAGATTCGAGTACCCCCCCATCACTGTSCAGGTGAGGCAGCCACCAGCCGGGCTCCTGGGGGGAAAGGGTTAAAGCCCTGCTCACTGTARCACCATGGTGGTGTTTGCACTTCCAGGGGGCTCTCCCAAACAGCTGGCTCCTGGGATGCTCAGTTCTTGGAATCTCATTTGGCTATTTAATCTTTCTTTGAAGGTTGAAAGCAGCCATGAAATGAAAATTTTATTATTTCCCCATGTAAAATGGGAAGGCAGAGGCTACTGGAGGGAAGGGGGTTGTACAAGGTCCATCTCCAATCCCACAGCTCTCCCTCCTGAAGGAAATACCTGTTGAGAAACCAGCTGGAAAAACATAATGCTTGAGGAGGGTGGAAAGCATATGAAAGGGTTGTTCCCCAYCATGCTGGTGCTGAGGAGCAAACCTGCAGCAGCTCTGACATTTTTTACCCCTCTAATCCCATCTTTGGGTTTGTTTCTCTCTTTCCTCCGCTGCCAGATGCCCGAAACAGCCAAACTGTACAATGACTTCACCTGTGCATTCATCTTCAAGAACAAGCTGAATGTGACCCTGGAAAACTGCAAGCTGCTGGTGGAGGGCTTGGGCATATTTAAGATGACAACATTTGAGCAGGGGTAAGGAGATGAGCCAATGAAATGACCAGGGCAGGATTCTGCTCTGTTGGTTTTGTTTTTAATATCCTTGAAGAAGTGATTAAGGGATTTGGAGTAAGAGGGATCTTTGCAGCTGTGTTTGACACTGCACCACATTTGGCCAGACAGACCCAAACACACTCGGGGCAGACGGGCATGACAGGGGCTCCCCACATGCTCCTGTTGTGCTGGCCAAGAAGTGTGAGCAGTGTCAGCTGCTGCCTTCAGAGCTGAATTTAGTGTTTCAGCAGCACGGGGAACTCTGGGGAAGGTGCCTAGGAKCACCAGGAGCACCAGGCAGGACCACTGTGCCAGGCCCCCTTTGCTGCACACTGGTGATGGGAGAAGGAAARCACCCACCCTAAACACACACAGCGATTATTACTTAAAGTGAAATTATTCAGAAGCGGCAAATAACCCTAATTCAAGCTGAGACTAATTGGTTTTTTCCTTTGTCCTTAGGGATATAATGCCTGGCAGAATCATGAAGTCTGAAGTAATATGCACTCCAACAAGACTAGGAGAGAAGAAAATCATAGCCAAGCTGATCTCAGACCAGATCAAAGGGATCTCTRCAGAGAAAGCCATCATGATCACTGAGTAGGATCAGCACCTTTTYGGGGTGCAAATGTTGGCCTTGCTGAATGTATTTTATCACTGGGCATTTCTTGTCTCCTTGATTGCTGTGTAGTACTTTTAATATAAAGAGCAAAATTGCCATAAAGCTACAGGAATTAAAGTGACTTTAAGGGGTGCAGCTGCATTGATTGCAGTTAACTGTGATTCAATAAAGATTGCTAAAATTGACTCTGTGATTGGGTTTGTGTGATGATATTGGCACACTGGAATGGCTCTGAATCCACAGGGGGATGTTCCCATCCCAGACCAGGGGTCACAGCTCATGGTGGTGCCAGCTGCAGCCAGTGATGGGTGTGAGCCTGGGAGGGGCCAGTGGTGCTGTGGTCCTACATGGAAGGACAAGGACACACAGGGACCTCACTGCTCCAAGGGCGGCTCTGCAGCTCAAGGAACACTTCAAGCAAATCCCTCCTGGGCAATTCCCTCTTCCTCCCAGCTCACCATATGGGAAATGTTCCAGCATGTGCCTTTCCTCGTCTTTAGAGCACAGAAAGAGCAAACCCAGCGGTCTCCCCAAACACCATTTTTCATACATCTTCCCATCCCACTTCCTTGGGGGGTTTTCAGGCATTTTTGGAAGAAGTACTATCTCCAGCAGCATTACCAGTGTTTCCCTAGAAATGTCCAACCTCTATTCTTTGCCTTCCACCCTGAACACTGCTGGACTACAGGTAGAAGCTCAATGGCAGTATCCATCTGGAGCTCTTCCAGCCGTAGTGACACTGAAAAGACAACAGCTGTGCACAGCTGGAGCCCACCACTGCACTGCACACACCAGCAACTCCCGAGCCTGCCTTTAGCAAGGGATTGCTCTGTCCCACAGCATGGCCTGCAGCAGGGTGGCACTGGGGCTTTCAGTGTTTCCACAAGCAAAGAGGAAATTAGGTCACACAGTAGTACACAGGGTAATTTATTTGTTTATTTAAAAGGCAAGTGCTCAAGCATTAAGGCAGTAGAGTGGAAAAAAGAAATGGTGATTACATCTGGTTATGTGCCAGCCCATAAAAARGGAGGGAGGAAGAAAGAAAAAAGGGAGGACATAAAAAGGCAAAATGGTTTTAACCACTCTCTTGTATTTCAAAGATTTGGGGAAATGGGGGCAGCTGCCAGGCCACAAAAGGGGGTCAAGGCTGCCCTGACCCCTCCTGCCCCTCTGCCCACAATGTTCTGCTGCTCCACAGCAGCACTGGGTCCCTGAAAGGCCACCTCCTGTGGTGGCACAGCAGGGAGTGGGAGCTCCTCTCCACAGGCAGAGCTGGTGCAGGGTCCATGKGCATCATGTCCGCAGGGTAGGGAGGAACAGGTGCTCCTTGGCAGATGAAGCGTTAGTCTTTCAGTAAGTGCAACAACGACCGTAGGAGCAAAAAGGAATTACAAACAGCAAAAAAGTATTTTTTTTTTCAAGAGATGTGAATTCTCTAGTTGCATAGAAAACCTGCTGCAGAAGACACCAGGTAAGAAGCAYGAGAACACTTTCCACATTTGCCACCACCTTGTCCATCACATATGAACTCCTTGTGTCAGAGCGGTGACAGGATCTTCAGCGGACCACACCTCACAGAGCAGTGCAGGGGGAGCATCCTCCCCAGCCCCACASGTTTGGGGCACCACAAGCAGGCCCTCCAGGATGTCTTTCCTGGGACCTGGAGAGCCAGTCGGGACCAYTGCAGCATGAAGGCATGCTCTAAGAAAGGGCAAGATGTGTGTAGGGGGAAGGCAAGGTAAACAGTGAGTTTAGTTTCAATTCCTTGAAAATCATGTTTGATGTCAAATTACCAGTCAATCATTAAAGGAGGAGATTTATACGAAAGCTGTGGATAAATAAAACAGATTTTTCCAACTCGTAAAGATTTCTGTGATTTCTGACAGTTGTCACACTACATTGAGACAGAAAGGAGATACATCTAGGGATACTGGGACCTTGGAAGGGCACAAGGGAGATTGACAGCCAAGAAAAACCAGAACTGATTTTCTGGGCATAGGAAATCACCCCACCACGTCTCAGGGGCACTGGAGATGGAGCTGGCTGTCCATCTATGCTCTGTGTAAGGCACAGGGACACGTCCCTGTCTCTCCTCAGACTGTAACTGGAAGAGGGGAGATGACTGTTCTGGCTCTCACCCACCTCTTGACACTGCTTTTCTCTCTCCCTGATTAAAAAAAAACAAACAAACAATAATGCCAGCACCTGAGGAACAATAGAAGAGGTGGGAAATAGAAGCAAATTACAACYGTTCTCATGATGAAGTGAACGAGGTTTGGGAGTGGACGAGAAGTTAGGCTGCCTCCATCTATGCCTACCCAAAGCCATGTCCCAGAGTGGGGTCCCTGTTCTGAGAAGCATCCCTGGAACGCAGCGCACGGGGGTCTCTCCCAAGCTGACATCCCTATATACCTGCCTCAAGGGGATTTKCAGCCATGAACAGTTTCTCCCTGTAGCACCATTCCCACTGCAGACACAGCACCAGAGGCAGGGATGTTGACTGGATGCAGAGGCAGAGCAGCAAGCCAAAATTAGAAAACATGAGCTAAAAAGGGCACTCTTTTCCTTCCTCCTTCAGCATCCCCATTGCTCCCTACAGGGAATCCCTTACAGATCTGCGTATACCCCTGATGTCCCTTTCCTGAGGGATGCTGACAGAGATGAATGCAGGGTGGTGCAGRAGAGGAACAGCCTCTTCCCTCAACACCACACTGCAGCACAGTGCAAAGACAGTCAAGAGCACGTGTCTAAATGACACGAGAGGACACCTCATTTTCTCTAAATGTGGGGTGTTTCCCTTTGCCCCAAAGGTTATATGTACACAGTTCCTAATGACGGTTTCTAGATCTATTTTTCACTGACAAAGAGACACTGGAAGAACCATCCAGAGGGAACAGGGGATGGGACAACTATTCAAAAATACCCCCTGGATTTCAGCCAAGCTGTGCTCCTAACAGTCAAGGCATTGTTTGCTCCCAGTACCTTTGCCAGAAAAGGAACTGCTGTGGCAGAGGACAAGTYCAGGAGAGAATCTCATCCCTCCACACTAGGCCTGAATGTCACAGCTTCAATATATACTAAAATGCCTTCTGAGGGTTAAAAAAATACAGAAAAAAACCTTGCATAAATTCTATTTGATATTACTCCTAYATATAATAAAAACTTCATATAGGCCTTTCATAATACCATGCTTTCATCCCAAAAACTCCTTTCTSTGACTATTGAGAGGAAGCAGTTATCTTTGGTCCATTTTACAGGGGAGGAAGACACACAAGCAAGCATGTTCTGTGGTGGGGAAAGCAGAAACGCATCTCTTCATCCTGCAAATTTAATAACAATTAATCTAAGGGACACGACAGAAGGAAAAAATCCCAAAACAATTAAAAACCAGTCTAAATTAAAAGTACCGTGACATCTGGAGGATGCCAAGAGTTTGCAGCATATCTGAATGCAGTGGCTCTGCGTGACTTTGCTGCAGCCACTGCAGTRATGCCTTCTTTGGGTGATGGGTGTTCCTTCTACAGGTTCACCAGCATTCYCCAGGAGCTGCCTGCAAAATCAGTGTAAGGAAACTCTGTGTAATGGCACGTGCTGGCAGGACAGTAKGAAACCCCAGCAAGGTTAACAGGCACTATTCACTCTCTACCAACTCTGGGTACCAAGAAAAGGAGAGAGACATCTAAATTAGAYAAAAAAGGAGAGAGGCAGTACCTCCATCAGCAGGGTGTTCACATCTCCCTCTCTTGGACTGCAGAAATAGCCCTGGCATGTGGCCTAGGCCACTTCCCTGGGCTGCAGAGCTCAGCCAGGCAGCTCCCACTCCACACATCTCACCTGTGAATGAACCACAGCCCCAGGAAAAATCTTCCCCTCACCAGCACCAGCCTGGCTGACATTTGCCCATTCTTGGCTGTRCTGRMCACGGGTGAATGYTCCAGCCAGYCTGGCACTGCCACAAGCCCACMARCTCCGACAAGCACRACCAGTCCTGGGCAGTTCCACAAGCACAGAGGGRAAACATTACCCCTGGAGATATTTCAGAGCCCAAAGGAATTACACCCAGAGTGAGCTCATCCATCTGCTGCATCCATAGCCCTGTATCCCAGCTCTGCTAAGACCCACAMACCAGCAACTTTCATAATCCAGAGGCAGCACCCATGGGATGAGACGGGCCACAGGATGCATTTTTCACGAAAACCTTCAGAGCTGGCCTAATCTTGCCATCACGCATTTAGCCCTCCAAAGGGCCGTAAGAACAAAAGATGAACCAGACTCCCGAGAATGGCACATTTCTGGGAACTGGAACCAATCKATCTGACCATTATAAACTGTCCTTAAAGGCCATGCAAGAAAAGCTTGATAAAGCAGTTGACACAGGTCTGAAAAGGAGCTTATGAACCCCATCAYCTATGAAGCTCTCTCTGGAGATTTGCATTGCTTCTGCTAGTGCTGTAGTGTCTGTTCCAGACAAATACTCCTGAATTTTTTAATGCACCAGAAAGTAAGTTAAAGAACAACCCTTTCATCTCCAGCACAAGTAGTTATTTAAAAAAGACACCTGGAAGCTTCTCCCGGCATTGTGGAGGATGCTTTGCTTATTCATGCAACATCTGGATGGCAACATCTCGAGCCAGAAACTGCTCGATTTCTTCTTGTGTCATAATTTCAGATTCAGGAGCTGCCGCCACCGCTCCAGCCGTCGCTGGGCTCTCGCAGTTCAGGTTTGAGAAAGGGTTGAACCAACCCAGCGAGAAGGCACCRCCAAATGCCAGCTTCATTCCTTCCCAGCCGCTGATCTTCTCCCAGGTTGGTTTCTGGTTTTTAAGGCGCTCAATACCCTGCAAGAAGAGAAGAGTTTACGGTCGTCTCACGTTTAGAGCAGGCATTTGGGCACCGAGCACCGCAGCACATGCAGAACTGCCTACCTAGAGCCAGGCTGGTGCTACTCCAGTTCAAGTTAACAATGAAGACAGATTCCCTGCATTATTGGGAGTTTCAGCTCCAAATTTAACAGCAAAACCCTCAAACAAGATCAAACTCATGGACAATCTGAGTCTCACTGATGTATTTTGGCATCACCTCCTATTGATTTTTAGGGTATGCAGMTGGCTTCTAAAAAGCCAGCCTTTTTGGGAACATGAGCCTCTTCTCACGTGGCTTTTTGAATCCCTCCAAGGAGTGACAAAATACAGTTA